CTGGCATCACATTTCACCCTAGTGTCTAAACTGGGGTCATAATAATGAATTTTTGTTATATTCGCAACTGCTATTTTTATTGACTCGAATATTTCCGAATGTTCTTCTTTCCATTCGAATTTTTTTACTTGAAATTTTACACTTTTGAGTTTCTTTTTCTCATTTTCTTCGCGTAATAGTGGTCTCAATTTTTCTGTTAGCGTAGCCGCATTTGGGATGAACTTGGCCAGATGGTTTATACTACCTAGAAATGATCTAAGTTGTTTCAGTGATGTTGGCGGGCTAAGTTTTAGTATCGCTTCTGTTTTTGTAATCTTAGGAGAGATTCCATCCGACGATAACTTATGCCCCAACCAATTCACCTCCTGTTGAAAAAATTCACATTTCGACAGTTTTAATGCCAAATTCTCTTTATCTAGCTTTTTTAGGACATTCATAATCAATTCTTCATGTTCTTGTTCACTCCCTTTTGATACAATGAGTATATCGTCAAGAAAACAGAACGTGTTTTCCGCATGATTTAATGTTCTGTCCATAGCTTTTTGAAACTCTGCTGGCATGTCTGCCAAACCATAAAATCCTGTTAGGAATCTGTATGTACCAGTGGCTTGCCCACCTATGATGTTGAAATTGCATTGTTTCGCTGTCTCTGCAGTCAGCTTTAGTTGACTGTACGCGTACTTCAAATCTAGTACTGAGAAATACAGTTTCCCGTTTGTGTTCGCTGTGACAATTTGACTAACACCGTCTATCTATTCGTCCACATTTGGCATTTGATATTTGTTTTTAAACAATTGTCTATTGATGGGTTTGGCGTCTAGCGCCAACTTTATGGAATCATCTTTTTTCACTGTTATTACAATAGGTGCTATAAAACAATCACTAGTGCTTTTTTCTAATCGTTCTATATGCCCTTCTTTTAACAGTTTTTTCATTTCCTCGTACACTTTCTCTTGTATGTGTATCGGAATGCGTCTCCCCTTTTCTTGTAAAGGGCAGAGTGGGTATTTGAACTTTGTGCTAACCACATGGTTTTTGGAGCACCCTTGACGATCGAAAAGATTCTTAAATTTACTATAAAATTTGTTTTTCCAACCTTCTGACTGTTCGCACAGTAAGACATCAAACCTCGTCTTTTCTTTTGGTGCCAACTTCTGTGTTGTGTGTATTCCCACTTTGCTCTGTAAATCCAGCCCCAAGATACACCGTGTGCGTCTTTCTGTGATTAAGAACGATGCTCCCACCACTTCCCATCCCGCCGAACGGATGTTCTTGGTGATTGCACCCAGTATGTTAATCGGCTGCTTGTTGTAGTCTACAAATTTTGTAGACAGATTGAGATTCTCCCGTGGAATGAACTTGGTATTTTTCGAAGATTCTAGAATCGTCTTTGCAGTCGCCCAGTTCAAGAAAGATACTGGACTACCCGTATCAATGGTCATATTTACGATCTGATGATCGATTCTCACCAGAGCCTTTAGTGACCTTATTTGTTTCGATCGAGTATTTCTTCTGATGTCAACCTTTTGTACATCCTTTCTGTGCTTGTCGGTTTCCTTGTTTTTATTCGATTGCCGTTTTATATATTCATCAATTTCTTCCAGCGAAGATATTTCTGATTCGACCGACATAATTTCGAATTCCTCACACGATTCGAATGACTGAATCAGATTACACTCTTCATCTGATCTTGATGATTTTTCTGCAATCTCATTCACTTGTTGTGATTTACACATTTTAGCGAAGTGGTTCGGTTTAGAACAATTCTTACATGTTTTACCCATGGCCGGGCATTTCTTCAGATGTCCTTCTCCGAATATTTGACCACATCGGGTACACGTCTTTGAATCTGCAAAACTTCTCCCCTCCTTTCTGTCTGCAAATTTCTTTCTATACCCACTGTTTGCTTGTCTTCTTCCGCTAGCATTTTTGTTACCGATACTCATTATGGGTTCTTGTTTTATCTTCGCTGCCCCATTTACTTGAACTGTACTTGCAGTTGTTGCGTTAGTTTTCTGAAACGCCTGTGTTGTCTGTTTACTTTGTTCAAACTTTAACGCTCTTTTCAGTACTTCTTCCGGTGAAAATGTTTCAAATGTCAATGTGTCTTGTAATACCAAATTCTTCATTTTCGAGATGAATAGGTCCCGCACTAACTGATCCTCCAGTGTTCCTAGCTCAGCTTTTGCTGCTTGTACAGTTAGTGCTGCATGAAATGCCTCGAGTGTTTCCCCAGTTTCTTGTGATCGATTGAATAATTTGTAACGTTCATATGTAACACTCTGTGATTTATCAAATGACACTTTCGCCAATGCCACCATCTCTCGAAATTCTAACTTTGACACTTCCACATGGGGGTTCTTTTGAACGAATTTCTTCTTACCTTCTGTACCCAACGCCAGGAATAGTCTGGAAGCGACTCTTTACTGTACCTCGTTGTAGTATACGTTGTGACCAACCTTTGGACCTCTAGCTCTTCTTTCTTCATTTTCCAGGTTAATTTTATCTCTAGCTAGTTGATCTCTGGCTTCTCTATCAACAATCGCCTGTGCATTTTCGTTTTCCTTTGGAGTTTCGGATCTTGGTAATTGTTCCAACAGAACTTCTTTTGGTTCTTGTAACAAAAGTTCCGGGTCCACGCTCTCCTTTACGGTCACTGCCAAAAAAAATTGATCTAGCCATATCCTAAAATTCCAGGGAGGGTCAGAGTTCGCGGTTGTCCAAAATACTGGAATCCCCATGTCCGTTCTGTTGTCTTGTGACAGAAATCCTGCTGGCTGCGCCATGTGATAGCTGTTGAATTAACTCAAGTATTTGTAAAACAGAATAAGTAAAACGTTTTAATTTAGACTGCTAACTTGTCTTATTTTAGATCTGAGATCATGCCTGTCTTTTCATGTCTCTCTATCAACAGCAATGTCCTAACTGACTATTGCGTTTGGCCTGCAAAGAACGGCCTTGAATAATAACAATACATAACAGAATAATTAATAGCACTATTCTCAGAGGTTACTGTGGCAGCAGTACTACACGGTACCACAACCCCAAACCTCCACCAAACATCCCTACGCCCGAATCACTAACACCCTCACCCCAACGCCCTCCAAAATAGGTAACTTCGTAGTAGGAGTTAAACGTGGGGGGTTGTGATGTAGATTGTAGGATTTGCAAAAAACTGAATACAAGAATAACAAACTTACGTAACTTATTATAAAATGCGATTGAAACTAATAATTAAATCAAATTTAGCGAATACACAAAATAACTATATTAACTTTAAACTTATAATGAAGAAATAAAAATAGCAGATGGAAAAATTTTTTAAAAAATTGATTTTGATAGATTATGTCTCGTCCGACAATTTTTTTTTTTGAAATTGAGTTGAAACAATTGACTTTTTAGCTTCGAAAAATAATAATTATATACTCCCTTTCAAACCAATTCTAATTGATAATTTTTGAACTTTAGAGAGACTATGAAACTGCATTAGAATTGATTATTATCCGTGAAATTTCTGTGCGGGATCCGCCACATTCACCCATTTATTCCCCCATCTCCTCGCTTCTTCAATTGCCCCCCCCCCCTTCCCGGCGCATCCACAACTGTCCCCTCCCCACCGCACATTTAGACCACTTCCCCTACGTTTATCCCCACCCCCACCCCTACGTCTTCCCATTAAGGAATGGGAGAAAATTCAAGGGAGGAGGGGGTTTAACGCAGGGGTGGGAGAAAACAGGAGATCAGAGTGTAAATGGGGAAAGGTAAGTGAGAGGTAAAATTAATGAGAGGGGAATATAATAATATTTCGCCAAATACAAATGCAAGGTTCGCCAAAGGTAATTACAATGAATGCCCAAGAGAAAAAAATGTTTGTTTTTAATAGATCTCGCAAAAATTTTTTTAATATTTCTTTCAAATCGCAAAAACCCCATTTTTTGAGTCTTTTCCAGTTCTAATTCATTTTTTTTTTCATTTCTTTTTGAATTTTTTTACGACAACCTATTTCAACTAACTTTGGACTTTCTTGGCTGCAATAAAACATTTATTACATGCAATTTGCAGGTTAACTGTTCTGTATTTATTTTCTGCTTTAAAAAGAAGGTAGAAAATTGGAAAGAGGCTATTTTTGGAGCAAGTTTTTCAATTCGACTATCAAACATTCCTGTGCAAACCATAAAAAACATCAGAATTCCATCTACAACTTCTGTTAAAGACCAAAAAATGGAAATAATTGTCATTTACATTTATCATTGGTGTTGTTTTTCCTGAAAAGAGTGATAAAAAAGTGTTTAAAGTTTGCCTGAAATTATCAATGAAAATCACTTTCATTCATAACAAATTTTTCCTCCAAAGTAGACAGTTGGACTTTATTTTTTCCTGCTAGACTTTTAAGACTTGTTTACTTTTTCAACTCAATTTTCTCAAAGCGTAGTGTTTCTCAAAGCGTCAACATATCTGGTTGATAAACAAATCAACACCCTAAGATTTTATTCGCTGCCTCCCAGTAAAAATTTATTCTTCAAAGATATTCAGTAAAAAAAGTTTCTAAAAATCAATATTTAACTTGTTTGCCTTCAAAGCTATCTTACTTAACTTTCGAATAAACTCAGACAGGATTGCAATTCATTTTCTAACTACGATAGACAGATTATTCAGCGATTGATTATTGGTACACTGAAAAAAACCTACGAAAGCAGTGGTGTGCGAGTTGGGGGGATGGGGGGATGGGGGGGATAAGGGTAAGGGTTGGGTTTGAAACGGGAAGGTGGTTTTTGAAATTTTCTGTCAAACATTGTTTATTTACCACAAAAGGCTGTCGAAAAAAGTACTGTTTTTCTGTCACAAATTTGGTATAAATTGGCACCAAAGGCGCCTTTTGAAAACTTTTAGGGTTCATCAGCCGCAAAAAACTGTCGTTAAATTTGAACCAAAGGTGGGAACCACTGGAAAAATTAGGCAACCAGAATTGATTAGCCGGGTTCTCCCAATCCCCCGTCTCGTCCTGTACACTGCTGTACACAATTATTGACCCAAATAATTTTATGATTCAATTCCTAACTGACAAATTCTAAATAGATCTGAGTTTAGTTTACAAAAAACAATGAAATTTCTAATCGTTACACTTTCAGTTATGCTTATTGCAGCTATTTTACCGAAAGGGAATTATGCTCACTATGCAAGAGGCTTCTCATTGGACGGTAAACGATGGGACCCGTCCTCTGATTTCAATTTTGACCGTAAAACTAACGACCAATTTAAAATTGAGCTACACGAAATTTTAAATAGAATAACGCTAGTGCAATGCAATTATTGGTTCAATAAGAGTAATAGCTGAAATTCTGAAAGTCAAGAAAAGCTTCCAAAATCGATTAACTCACCATCAAATAATTTTTGAAAATTCTTGGTACAACCTGTGATCAAAACTATATTTTTGCTGAGGTTTCGACTTCGCAACTAGTCGTTATTGAAATTTATTTAATTTTTCAAAAATCTTTTATTTAAAAACCTTTTAGCCAAAAACAACGTTTTTTTCATAATGAACTTATATTTTGAGTTTTTTTGTATTTTTTTTGTGACTTATCAAAACAGTTTCAAAATTAATGAAAAATATTTTCGTAAAAAACATTGTAGTTGTTCAATATAAAACTCGAACACAAAATAGTGAGCTTAATTTTAAATTGGTCAAACTTAGTGGCTAAAAAGAGTAGTGAGTTCTCAACAGACGGCAAACGATGGGATCCGTCCTCCGATTTTAACTTCGACCGTAAAACTCTTGACCAATTTGAAATTGAGCTTCCAAAGATCTAAGTTGAAAAATGCTGGTAAAATTCAATTAACGGTTTCATAAAAGTATTAACTGAAATTCAAGGAAGGCCTCCATTTTGTTTAAAAACACTGAATATTTTCCATTAATTCACCATCAAAAAGTTTTTGAGAATCATTGGCACAGTGATTACAACTTATTTTTCTGCTGTGTTTTTGACTTTGCCACTAGTCGATTTTGAAAATTATTTTGAAAAAAAAAACTTTTTCATTTGAAAACTTTTCAGCCAAAACCAACGTTTTTTTTCATAATAATTTTTTTTTGGTAATTTTTGTTAATTATCAAAAAATATCGAAATTAATGAAAAACATTTTTGTAAAACATTGTAGATAATTGTAAATATAAAACACAAACACAAAAAGGCGAGCTTAATTTTGAATTGGTCAAAACTAGTGGCTAAAAAGAGCAGTGAGTTCTCAACGGACGGCAAACGATGGGATCCGTCTTCCGATTTCAATTTCGACCGTAAAAATCACGACCATTTTAGAATTGAGCTTAATAATAATCAAAATTTTTGAATGGAGGTACAATGCAGTTAATGATTCAATGATAATAAGAACTGAATTAAAAGGAATCTTTCCATTTTGTGAAATAAATCAAAAAATTTCCGTTAGTTCTCCATCAAATAATTTTAGTGTCCCTGGAATAATCAAGGAATAAAGTTTTTTTTTTGCTGTGTATTTGATTTTACAATTGGTCGTTGTTGAAACTTATTTTGAAAAACCAAATTTACAAATTTATTTGAAAACATTTAGTTTCAGTCGAAAACTCTGTTTTTTTATATAAACTTTCATAAATTTTTGTGAATTATACAAAACAGCTAGAATGATGTAATACCCAAAAAACTGTAGTTTATGTTCAGTCTAAAAATTGGACACGAAATAGTGAGCTCAATTTTAAATCGGTCAAACCTAGTCGCTTGAAAGAAAAGTGGATATGAACATAAAAAATGCAAGCAGAGTAGTGATTTTCCGATGGGACTAGCTTGTGTGGGAGGAGCATGCAAAGACATTTGAAAACAAAAAAAGACATTTTGGAAGAACACTTCTTGTTTTTTTTAAACATTTCAAAAGAGAGCTGGATTGATAATTCAATAGCGGTTCTAAATGTTGTCATCATAATGATCAATTGATAAACTATCACTATTTTGAGTTTTCTTTGAGCTTCAGGCAAGTCCACAAGATTTAAAAGTGCCGAAAAAATTGACGCACAGACCAGTTATTTATGTATCATTCAATTTGTTGTACTATGTTTAAATTGAATAATTGCAACTGCACAAATCTTACTTTCACTTATAATTTATGGCAGAAAAAAATATAACTGATAGGCCAATAACGTTCAAAGCTATCAAAGCCAAAATCTTCAATAAGACTTTAAACTGTTAAACCTTGCCGTAAACGCGGATATGAATGAAACCAAACTGTGGAGTGAAACCAGTCATTTTTGAGGATCAAATCTGTTTCTATTATCGACAAGGGCCTTAAAAAAATTTTTCTGAACTTTACTTTTTCTACAAAAGAAGACTGCTCGCATCAGGGCAAAACCCCGAATGATTCGATTGCCCTTTCACGTCTATGGAAAAAAAGTTCAGTCTGATAAAACTAATCGCAATTTCAAAAATTACATTTTCATGATTTTTTTTAAAAATTGTCCACCAACACGCCATGTAATGCACAAAGGGTTTTACTTCCACATAGCGAAGTATTAAACAGATCAAGTAGCATGCCTCAGTACACTTTGGAAGGATTTCTAAGACGGATTAAATCTCCGATTTTGCCTTATAAGCACGAAATATATCATGCGTTAATTATCCCAAATGGACTATAATGGTAATCTTTAAACCACCATAACCACAAAAATTGAGCACAAAAAATCTTTCTTAATTTGAGCACAAGGCAAAAATAACTTATGGATAATATTAAAAAAAACTCTAACAAAAATGGTTTGCTCAAAAGACGATATTGGTCTGGAGAAAAAAACCACGAGCCTAAATATTTAATCACTTTCTTCAAAAGTTCAAACAACAAGCACAATTTTTGTTTTGCAGGATATAAAGGCTAATAAATCTATTCAAACGGCAAATAATTTTTTCTAATGTCGGTATGTTGAGATTTAAAGCCTTGTTTCTGTTTGTTCATTGCTTTAAACATGAGCACCACGACTATAAGGTGCTGGAGCTTGACCATTCTATTCATACCAATCATCTTACCATCACTATAACAAACTTTCCCTTTTATTTGAATCTTTTTTGATATATATTCTTCGGTTATTCTTGATGGTTTATATTAGTAAAATTGCTTTGATAAGTTTGCTTGAAAAAATCTGTTATGTGGCTCACCCTAAGAGGTAGAAACGCTTTTTTAACTTGGGAATTTTTTTAACGTTTTGTTCAGCTGGTAATGATATGTGAAATTACTTAACATTAGTGCCCTGGAAAGATTTTGCGAAATAAAAACCGTTTTTGAACTTTTCAGATATATTAAGTGTGAAACGTTCTCTGTAGTAAATATGCAAAAAGATTAAGCGACAAAATTGGCTTCAACGAAGAAAACGAATTTTTCTAAATAGAAGTTAAAATTGCCTAGGGCATATATTCACCTTTAACTTTTATAAGTGCAACTCATTTGGTAGTTCATCTTTATTCTTGCTTCTCGCTTTCAGTTTTTTTCCAGCAAAAATGATTGTAAAGTGTTTGATAAAAACCTATCATACTTGATAAACTAACCTTTAGAATTAGGATATTTCTTCTGAACCTGATTATTTCATAGCCAGACCATTCTGAGAATAATCAGAAAAAGATGGTTTTTCTGAGTTTAAATTTTTTAAGTTTTTTTTTGTAAGAATTATTAAGACCTACGAGATAACAGTAAGATTAAAATCAGTATTGGGCTAATTAGTTGCACGAACATTTCTCCGGCCAAAAAAAAGATAGCGTGTCAAACACACGGCGTAATCCATCTGAAAAAAAACTGTTCAATTCATGAGAATCAATGTGATCCATGAAAAAGCAGCCCCGCCCCAACTCATAAGAATATATTTTTTTGTTTTTAAAGCAAATTGTAGTATGTTTTTCTAAGAACTTTTTTTGTAAGTGAGCTCAGGGTTTATTTAGTTTTTCCTGTTTGATCATTTTTTGTTTGGTAATTGACTTTTTTATTCTTTGGTCGCGAAATGGGGAAGCAAATTTGTTCTATTTTTTTTGAACTCGACTGATGATTGCTGACTAAACTTCTTTCCTGGAAATTTCAATCAATTGGCTAATTGCGAGCTTTATGAGCTTAAAACTGACAGGCTTAGGTCCGATTGCACAATTTGGCGCCGGTGCAAATGGTATTTTTATTTGTGTAGAGCAGTTATTTCTTACAGATTTTGGGCTCAATTTACTTGGATAAATTTTTTTTTTCCACCAGTACTAAAAAATCGAACATGCTGAGTACACTACAAAAAGCACGTTCGGTCTAAGGTTTCTTCAAAAAAAAAATTATTACCAGTTGGCATTGTTCTTATAACAATTTTATTATTTGCGCTTCCCGTTTTACGGTTCCATTAGCCCATTTTCGGGGTGCAAAATAATAAGAGAAGAAAGAAAACAGTACCCATGGTGGAAATTTAGAGGAACATCTTCATAACAAGTTCCTTTTTATGACAGTAAAATGCTAATCTTCACATTTATTCAAAAAAACAAGAATAAAAAATAGCTACTCAACGCTAGCAAAAATCAAACAATATTTTGGTTCATTTTTGATTATTGCTGATTGAATTCTCGAAAAAAGAAATTTTTCAAATAAATTGGTTATTTTGTAAAATATGAAATTTAGTTACTTTTGAAATTTAAAGTTATTCATTATGTTTAATTAAGTAAATCTTCCTCCGTATGTATGAATAAAATTAGTCATTCGTTAAATAATTTTCATTTTTTTTGTACCGCGAAAAAAGGAAAAGCCAGCCAGACTTTGGATGTCTATTTTTTTTGTGCAATCTGCGCTTTTACAATCATGAAAATTATGGTCTAAACTATCTCAATCTGGTTATGTATTTTAGTGTTGCGACTTCTGTAAGAAAATCAAATAAACGAATATCAATCTTAGCGTCAAAAAAGTAGAAAAGCTCAGAATTCTATTTTATTCCAAAATTGGACGAAAATACTCGAAGTAAGCGGCTAGTTTAATACAAAAAAAAAATCAAAAAATTATCGAAACAATTGAAGTTTTGGCTTATTCGACTGAAAAACCCCTCGGCGTAAAGCTCCCCTGGTTGGAAAAAAATTCTTGGAATCGATTTTTGGCTCCTTTGAAGGGTGGTAAAATAAACTTAAAGTTTACGGAGCGGATAATTGCCAGTCATATTTTGGGTACAAAATCTGATAAATTGGGAGTTTTTATTTCCTCGTAGATCTGACAAGTTTATCTAGCGTATACTTTTTCCTGAATTGAGTTTCTAATAAGACTGACAGGTTTTTCACATAACCAACAAATATTCACTAAATTACCTGAAAAAGCAAAATTATCCCGTTTTAAAAAAGCGCACACCAAAAAATTAAGATTTTTTCAGAATATTTCTGAATTTTTATCACACAGAATTACCGTTTGATTTCATACTTGGCCGCAACGTTATCTTCTGAAACATTTTCATCTATTGTTCAAAATCAAAAATTACTTTAATTGGTTACTTGAACATGAATTTGACTGTCGCCGTAAGTCTTTCAGTTATGCTAAGTGCAGTTATGCTGTTTGAACCGAATGAAGCCCATTATGCGAGGGGATTTCCGGTACACAGACGAGACTGGGACAGAGGAAGTCATTTCGACTTCAACAAGAAATCAGGGATCAGTTCAATTTTTTCCAAAAAAAAAGAAGAATTTTCGATCTCTTTAAATTTTTTAAGTCCCCCACCCAAAAAAAAACAACGACTTTAAAAAGTGTATAAACATTTTATTGGTGGATTAGTCTTAAAGAATGTGTAACAAAAAATTAGAGATCAGTTCAAATTTCACACCCCAGAGAAATTAAATTTCTACACCCTCACACATGTGAAAGCGACCTTGAAAGCAAAAAACTCTGTAATGAAAGCATTTTGCAAAACTAATCTGAACCGCAGTTCCAATTATAGGATTAGAGGCGACGAAATTTGCACAACAAAACAAAACAAAAATGATTTTTTGAACTGATCCAAAAAGTAGCGGAGGATGAAAAAAGAGCATCTGCGGAATGGGAGACATGTGAGAGTAATGCAGACTGTCCGATGGGATTAGCGTGTGTGGGGAAAGAATGCATGGACATTTGAGGGAAAAAACAGAATAATCGAGTTAGAAATGACATTTGATTGACAAGCACTCGATTGACAAGAGGGAAAGAGAGATAGAAATCGACGTTTGATTGATAATAACTGTTCAAACAAAATTAATACCAATAATACCGTGCTGAATTTAATTTTGCGAAATTTTTTTTCTCTATGCAAACAAAGTGACTTTTTATTGAAGTTTTACTGAATGAACAGTAATCGCAGGGGCGGATCTAGAATTTTCTCGAGGGGGGAGGCGGATTTCAAAAATTTTTGAAAACTTTGTCGACCTTTTTCTTTTTTTAGGTCGACTAAATTGATGTTTATTCGAGCTCTCTCAAAGCACTAAAAAGTCCCTGTTTTCGTATAATTGTCTGCGCCGCAGGCAAATTTTTGAAAACAAATTGGCCAAAAAGGCGTTTTTAAGCACTGTTTGGAAAATGTTGACTGAAAATTGTATTTTTTCAGCGCCCCCCCCCCCCCCCTCAAAATTGGCGCCAAAAGCGCTTTTAGAAAAAATTTGGGGTACGTCAGCTGAAAATGGATATCTTAAAATAATTCAAAGTCCACCCTTTGGGTCTTCAGGGACTCGAACCCCTGAGGGAAGGGGAAGCGTCCGCCTCCCCCCTCCCTAAATTTGCCCCTGGGTAATTGGACTGAAAATTACATTTGATTGACAAGCAAGCAATTCAAGCCAGACGATGATTACTTTGAGTTGACTTTTTTTTCTTTTTTGTTTGTTCCCAAATGGATTTCAGTATTTGAAAAGTTGTTGTGTTCAAAACAAGAAATCATGTTAAGTTCCACCTGTAGAAAAAGAATCCTTTTTATCACAACTTCTTGGACAAGCGGAAAAAATTGACACATATCATTTAGGGGGATGGTTCACTTGATTAGTTTTTTTTCAGCCAGTTATAGAATGGCATTTAAGATAATACATTTTTTGAAACCGTTATAAGATCTCTTAACACAATCAAAACTACTAGCAGTTAACTATAATGGCGGGAGATATTACTATATCAATAGTGGTTTCCATTAAACAACACGGTAGCTGCAAAGACGACTACAGTTTTTCATGGGACTTTACAAAACTATACACAACACCCCGGGTTGACCAAAACTTCTTATCATACAAATTCCATGTATGAAAAACTTCTTGTCATACAATTTCATACAATTCCATACGTACAGAAAATTGTAAGATAACTCTATGAAAAACATTATTCCATATACAAAAATTGTATGATAGTTGTTTTTCCTTAAACCAAAAAGTTGATTTTTTTGTCTCTAAATTTAATTTTTGAAAAATTTTGCTTGTGCTTGTATCCAAAAATTAGTGTATCGAAGACTACGATATGCACAAGAAAAAAATTGAAATTGGAAAAATGTTTGTGTCGCCATCAAAAAAATGCTAGTCATACAATTTCCATATATGGTAATTGTATGATAATCATTTTTTTCAAAAAACGAAAACCTCTGATATTTATCACCAGATTGTTTTATTAGAATCAAACAGCCGCAGAAACTAGTTGATATCTTTTTTCACCCATTTTTCGAAATTGTATGAAAATTATAGGACAAGCATTTTCCCACACACTTGATGTATGGAGCTGTATGATAAGCATTTTCGGAGTTAGAAAATATGTAATTTACTTCAAAAACAAACGAACGAACGAAACGAACAAAGCGTAAAAAATATCAAGCAAGAAAAAGGTTCTGTTGACTTTTTTGGCTAAGTGTAATGGAACAACAGATAATACATTTTCTAAAAATTGTTCCAAAAAGTTTTATAAGTGATTTCGATATGTCCATAATGAGATTTCAAAAAATCATAAAAGCGCGAAGTATCGATTTCCTGATGGTTAACACAACATTTTACTCACAGTTTAGTTTTTCTAAGGAACACTTAATGAAATTGCTAATATCAGCCAAAAGGCGATAATTCTTATTCAATAGATGAATTTTTTACGTGTATTAAAACTTAGCTTCTCAAAAATTGAAAACAGTTATGAAAATTATTCGTATTTGTTATTTCACTGTGTCAATTGTTAAAAAAGAACTTTCTTTGTTCGCTCAACAAGAATTTTTTACTTTTGCTTTTAGCCTGAAAAAAAACAAAGAAAACTTCTCCGAGCATCACAGTTACCAAAACGTTATTGTTACATAGAATATCATGGCCATTTCATTTAATTTAAATTGGAGTCAAATGAAATGATTCTGATTTAGTTTGAAAGTTCCAGTTTTAAGAGGTAAAAGGAAATATACATTTATGAAAAAATGGCAAAGATTTTTGGGGGTGATTTGAAGGTTAGAAGTCGAACTCTTATTATGGTAGCTTGATGATCAAATAAATCTTTAAAAAATCAAGTTTTGTCATAATGTATTTATTTAATAAATTAGATTGATGAGTCCGAGGCCTCAAAATGTTAAATACTCAAAATCAAATTGTAGCAACCCGGGGTTGACCAAAAATGCTAGTCATACAATTTCCATACAATTCCATACGTACAGAAAATTGCATGGAAGGTCTATGATTAGTAATTTTTCATATATGGAAATTGTATGACTGGCATTTTTCGATAAACCAAAAATATTGATTTCTCAAATTGTTTTGGTTGTGTTCGTAACCGAACACAAATTACATAAACCTTGGTTACTCAAATGCAGTAACCAAAGTTTTGGCCATCTCGCATTAAAAATGCTTTGGAAACAGCCTGCAATGTCTTAATTCTGTCTCACGCAAAAAATATATAGTATCAAATAATATAAAGTATCTGTCTCACGCAAACTTTGGCAAAAGTTTTTGAAGAATTATTTCTAGAATTTGAATTTTCAAATTACCAGACATTGATCAAGGCAAACAGAAACATGCCATACAAAGATTGAGCACTATTGAAAAATGTTATCAAGAGAAAAGGAAAAAAATCCAATATTAGTATATCCAGGACTACGTTAAACACACAAAAAATTAAATTTTGCATGCAAAATTTTTTTTTCAAAAAATGTTTGTTTGAGTACAAAAAACATTTTGCGGTTGGAAAAAACAAAAAAAATTGCTGGGGACAATTTCAAAAATAGTTTGAAAAATTTTTGTTGTCGCCATCAAAAAAATGCTATTCATACAATTTCCAAATATGGAATTTGTATGATTAGCATTTTTTTTGGCTAAAAGTTTTTCTTTTTCATTTAGTACGATACACCAAAATTTATGCCAAAACAAGAGCAAATTTTTTTGAAAATTCGATGACACCATTTTAGCAAAATGTATGAAATTTGTATGACTAGTAGTTTTTCATAGACTTAGTCGTACATAATTTCGAATCATGGTCAAAAGCAAGATCGAAACATAGTTAAACACTAATGCAATTCATGTTCCAACAGACAGTCAAACACAAAAATGGTCGAAACATAGTCGAGCTCAAAGTCGAACATAAAGTCTGATATTAACATAGTAGAACAAAAAGTCGATTAAAATGCGCGGTCGAACGAAGTCAAACACAAAGTGTGGCCAAAACCTGGTCAAACACAGTTTTAAAAAAAAGTCGATCTGATGGAATGGGCCACTGATGATCTTAGACAAAAGTGCGACAAGGGTTGTTCTGCCCAAAAAATTAATTAATGAAAAAGTTTTAATGGACTAAAAAAGCAATTTCAAATTTTTGTCACATCCATTTTGTAAAATATGATTACTATGCCAAAATAAAATTATTCGCCTTTTTATACTAGCTGCTGGTGAAACACATCAACTTTTGAAGTGCATAAATTATACAGATCGAGTCAGTCGAAAGGTAACACGCTTGGATCGAATATATGGAAACGGGGAGGGTTCTCATGCTTGAAGGACCGAATGCTTGAAAAGTTTCAACCAATCAAAATTGCTAAGCGTTCCTATAGGCTAAATGCCTTTCTCACAAAATCGAAGTCAAAATTGACAGAAAATGTTTTAAAGCAGTGAAAAATAATCAAAAATATTACAAATTGCGGGCTACAACCGCAATACTATTCGATAAACATCAAGATTCATGAGTTGAAGCTCATAAGAATTTTTCAGTCTTAAAAACACATCTGCTTATTGTCTAATAGGTCAATATTAACACTAATTGCCTGGATTTATTTTCTTACTTTGAGATTTTGAATACTCATTTCTGATTGGCTGAAAGTAAGCTAAAATAAATTTCAAGCATTCGGTCCTTCAAGCATGAGGGACGCCACCTATTGAAACAATGTTATTATGAGTATCAAAAACTGAAAACACGAACACGTACCATTCCATTGCATTTTCCGTCTTTGATTTGGATGTAGCAATTCGGTCTGGTCACACTCTGGAACATCCGCACTCCCCCCTCCCCCACCTTCCGTATTCGGAAGTATGACGTCATGTCACGTGATCCGCTTCCGTTAAGTTGTCCTAAATCGTCGATGCAGAGTGTTTTCTCGGGTGGACTGCATTGGATAATGAGGATGCCCTGGTCTCGGAATACGCCCTGGATAAAACAAAACTCGGAATAATTTTACATTACGAACGTTTTGATGTTTTAATCATGATAAATTGTTTCGTAACGATATAATATTACAGAGTAATTTGTATAAATTTACAAAAACAAATATGAATCCTCTGGGAGAACACCACTAGCATCATAAGTGAAGTCGACAAGTTTTCAAAACAATGATGGTGAAAAGCATTTTAAAGAACTCTGTTTTGCTATTTCAAATTTTGTGTAAATTTTGTGCAAACAAATTGTCAATGCAATGACTTAAATTGACCAGATAACTCCAAACTCCATACACCAATATTAAACATTTCATATTTTTGAAAATATTTCAGCATTTTTTTAACAATCACAATTTTCTAAGTCGCCGAATATTGCGACAACTCTCTAAACAACCTTGCAGACAGCGTTGAACAAATAAGAACTCTTTTCCACGCCTCCTCCACCCGTCACGTGTTTCCCTCTATTCTGACCCCTCCCCTGCTTTGCCCCTCCCTTAACATCCTCCCCCACTTGAGATCCGTCAGGGTTGAATGACAAATATCGTCCAGGATATTTGACTGATTCTAACACAATAGATCTGTCATTCTGTTGTAGAACTCGGAATTCACATTGCGATCCACTTCTGAGCTGAAATTAGATAAGATTTTGTAATAAAGTAAATTTACCAATATTTCAGCAAAATTGATTTGTATTTCGATATAAATTTCAGTATTAAAAAGTAATATTTATTACCAATATTAAGTTATCTAAAGTAAGGTAATTTTCATTCATTTGACAATAAGACACTATTGGATTTTTAACTGATGCTGATAAGGTAAATACAGAGGTTTTCAAATTCAAAATATGGTTAAATTAAATGGAGAAATTAGCGATTCATTTGTAACTAACTTTTACAAAATCATTAAACTTCAAAAAAAACTAAGATCTCAACTTGACAAAAATGCCATCAAACTCAACAGAGCCTGACAGCTTAAAATGCGGAGGATCCAGCCAATATTCTCCCCCTAACTAGAGCGATTTAAGGTATATATCCCCCCCCCCCCCCAAATGTTTGATTTTGATTAAAATTGGTTAGCGCTGCGGAGTAAAATGCTCGTTTCTGGATGTTCACAGAAAACTTCCAGATTAGTGTCATATTAAATAATCATCTCCTTTAAATTACCTGATGGAGGAGGATGATAATTTAGCCCAAAATGAAACTGAAACAAAAACTAAAAACAAACCCGCCTATCCAACTACTCACGTCTCCGAAGGCTATTTTGTTGTCCTGTTTGTTTATTTCACTGCTGTTGTTGTTGTCTGCTGTCTGTTTGTGGTCGAAAGCGAGGTTGAAGTTGAAATGTGTATCACCTCGGAACATTCGAACATTGTCTTTCAGTTTGAGTTTAACCACCAGAACACCTGAAACAAAAAATGGCTATGATAATTAACCAAACAAAACCTTCCATATTTATAAATCGTTATAAATCTTGGAAGATTAAGGGTATGCCTGAAAAATTTGACCCCGTAAAATCATTTTTTCAAACCGCCTGGTTGATTATCAAAATTTTTTTTAATGTAAGGCGGGTAAAGTCCTGTTATAGTTTCAACAGTACCAATTTTCAACAGTGCCAAAGATTATCAATTTGATGTACACCCGGATTGACAACAAATAGTAATCATACATTTTTCATATATGAAAAAAAAATGCTTATCATACTCTTTCATACAATTTCATAGTGTGAAAGTGTATGTATGAAAATAGCAATATAAGCATTTTTCCACTATTGAAATTGTATGACAAGCATTTTTTCCATTCTATGAAATTTTATGAGAAGCATTTTTTCCATAAATGAAAATACAAAAATATTTTGTTTTGAATTTTCGTGTTTCAACCGAAACACTAACCAAGGATTTTTGACCTGAGAAATAACAGAGTGTAACTGGCAGTTACCACGCAGATAAACTGAATTTGGTGGTTTTAGCCATAAAAGTTAAATGTAACATTTTCACATGGAAATATATACCAAAAAATAAATTTTTGAATATGGCTAGATAATTTTTCGTTTGAAAATTTTGATGGTTGCGAAAAAAAGGCCTGTTTTTTAGTATAAATTTATTCTTATTTTAGCAAATGAAACAAAATATAATAATCGTGTTTACAAAAAAACACTTTCTTGTGATTTTTAGATTTTTTGGGTGAAAAACTCATCCTGGACTACGTTATAAACACAAAAATGTCAAACTTTGCATGCAAATTTTTTTTTGCAATTTTTTTTAACACAACAGCAAGTTTGCAGCCAAAAAAGGGAATGAAAATTTTTTACCTCAAATTTTTATTTTGTTCATGAAACAAATGCATATCATACAATTTTCATGCATGAAAATTTTATATTAAGTTTTTTTCTGACAGAAATTAAAATTATGTTTTTGATTGTCAAAATGCTCTCTATTATAGATATACTTATTTAAATCTATTTAAAGTTAACCAGACAAGTTTTTTGGTGATTTTTGAAAACTTTATTTTTTCTATGACAAAATGACTTCTTTATAATTTTCATACATGGAAATTGTATGATAAGCTTTTTTTTATAAAAAAATTTTAAATCATTATTTTAATGACCAGAAAGCTTCAAAATAAACAATTAGACCAAAAATGTTCATTAAAAACTTTTAAAATACTTTTTAAATTTTGTATGAATTTTTTATGATAAACATTTTTTACCATGGACTTCATATATGAAACTGTATGATAAGCATTTTCTTCTATGGACGTCAACCCGGGCAGTCTCCTTTACTTTTACAATATGTTAAAAAACCTCTATTACTATGTTATTATTTTTTCATTAATTTACTGGAAAAACAAACTACTGCCGAGAGTTGGTCATTTTTGGCATTTTTGAATAATTGGTACTGTTGAAACTACTACAGGACTTTACACGCCTGACGGAGCTCTAATGTAAAAAAAATCTAACTGTTACTCATTTTTGTAGATTATGTGGGGTGTCTTTTTACTTATTCCGTCCAAAAATCAATGTTTAAACTGAAACTATTTTGCTTCAATTGAATTGACTAGAATAAACCGATCAATTTTTCACACTATTTCAAAAAGATTTGCTAAAAATTTTGAGACGGTTTATAGAAAATCCAAATTACCTAAAAGTTTTAATTATTCTGAAAAACGTTCAAGTTTGATGAAATAAACTACAGAGTTTTAACCAGACTAAGAAAAAACACAGAAAATGGCTATAGACAAAAATTCCAAATATCTGCTCAAAATTCGTCCTCGTTAGAAATTGGCTAATAACTAAAACGATGTAGTAGCAGTTTTGTGTGAATTATTTAGCATATCTTCATTCATTTCGGCATGTTTTTGAGTTGGTAGTTAAGCATTTTTAAGCCTGCAAAATTTCAGAAAAAGTCAATTGAGAAAAGGTATTATTTTACTTCGAGCTCAGGGCAACAAAAAAGTGTAAAAATTCCATAGAAACGCTTATTTTATTAAAAAAGGGTTTGTACTAGATATAAAACCATTCCAAGAGCCAATATTTTGTCCATTTCTGTAAAAAAACATTATATCACGTTGTTAGTTCTTTTTCGAAAAAAAAATTTTGAGTATACGATAAACTTAGGTATGTACTTAAATAATCATAAAATGGTTTAATACATCTGATTTATAAAATTTCCAGAAAATGAAATACATGCAAAAGTTAGTTAGTAAAGTCAGTAAACGTTGCTATAAAGCCAAGAGAGCCATTTTGAGAGAAAGACTGCTCGTATATAGGCAAAACTTTTTCATTGGGTCCGAAAACTCTTATTTTACACGGTCGAATGAAGGCTTCAACAAAACTAAATTGAATCATAATTCAAATAGGGTCAATAATCTTGAGTTAAACAGTGTCGAACCATGTTTCGAATAATTCCAGCCTTTGGTTCACATATGCTCAGAAATTGTTAATAGCAAAAAAAAAATTTTGCTTAAAATACGTAAAATACGTAAAAAGACCTTATGAAGGTTTTTAAAATTGTTAATGTTTGGGATAGTTATCGTGTGGCGGAATAAAATGTTTCAAATTGAAATTGGCCTAAATTCTAAATGTGCCGTCAGAACTTTCAGAGATTCGCCTCGATGTAGTAGCATTTTTGTTTGAATTATTTAGCATATCTCCATTCATTTCGGCATGTTTTTTGAGTTGGTAGTTAAGCATTTTTAAGCCTCCAAAATTTCATAAAAAGTCATTTGAGAAGAGGTATTATTATACTTCGAGCTCAGGGCAACAAAATCTTTCAAAAAGTGTAAAAATTTCATAGAAACGCTTATTTTATTAAAACAAGGGTTTGTACTAGATATAAAACCATTCCAAGAGCCAAAATTTTGTCCATTTCTGTAAAAAGACATTATATCACGTTGTTAGTTCTTTTTGGAAAAAATGTTTTGAGTATACAATAAACACAAACTTAGGTATGTACTTTAATAATCAAAAAACGGTTTAATACATCTGATTTATAAAATTTCCAGAAAATGAAATACATGCAAAAGTTAGTTAGTAAAGTCAGTAAACGTTGCTATAAAGCCAAGAGAGCCATTATGAGAGAAAGATTGCTCGTATTTAGGCAAAACTTTTTCATTGGGTGCGAAACTCTTATTTTACACGGTCGAATGAAGGTTTCAACAAAACTAAATTGAATCCTATTTCAAATAGGATCAATAATCTTGAGTTAAACAGTGTCGAATCATGTTTCGAATAATTCCAGCCTTTGGTTCACATATGTTCAGAAATTGTTAATAGCAAAAAGTTTTTTTTTCCTTTTAAATTTGGTACGAAACATCTATTTAATCAAATAGCTCTGTCAGAATTAGTTTAAAGTGCCAACCTGCTGATGGTCATTTTAGTAGAGAACTGAGAATTAAAAATTTGATCATGGAAATATGTTACGTTACAATATCTTTGCATTCCAGGGGCACTTGGGCTTTTATAGCACTGCACTCATTAGAAACGTTGTACTAAAAAAAATTGGATTTTTTTTATTGTTACTCGAACACAGTCGAGCAAAGATGAACTTTGAAGGCAAAATAGGTAAAATCTTAAATCGCGCCTGGGAAAGTAAGAAATTGAAAAGTGTAAAGCTGAAAAAAGCAAGAGTGTCAAAAAAGTCAAAAAAAATACAAAGTCTGTTATAAATTGACCGAAAATTTTGAAAACAGAAATCGGTCGATCTTTCGAGTGAATCATGGGTACTTAGTGTTTTTGTTATTATTTACAAATTAGTCTGTTTCAATCAAAGTTGGAAAAATTTTTGAGCGCTTGAAGAACATTGCATTTTGAGAGAGTATCAATTCAGCCACTCAATTTTCATTCCAGGCATTGACCTTTGCAAGAAGTTTGAACACTAAGTTATGTTCTAGGTGTAACTCAAAGAGTAATTTCAGATAGGGTACACCGTCTGCTCGTCACGCTATCTTATTTTCGGCCGGATAGATTCGTGCAACTTCTTAGTCTAATACCGATCCTAATCTTACTCTTATATCTACTAGTCTCAGGGTTTTAACTAGTCTCTGTTAGGCTCAATAGATCTAGAGTATACTGGCTTATTGCGATTGCTAAAAGGTCTCTTGGAGAGGTAACTAATTTCTAAGTTAAATTCAAATCTCTCTGGTGCTGAAATTACAAGTAATTTCAGCACTTACAAATAAGTGGGTTGTTAGTTAGATGGATCATGATTGGTTAATATAAAATATTTTATAGAGATAAAATATCCAATTTATAACCAATAATAAATATAGTTTATATCTGGTTCCAACACATTCAGTCAGAAATTCCATTAAAAATATAAATTCAAATTCTTTGTATTTGTCTCGAGAAAAAATCCTACTAACCTTGTAATAATCTGACAATTTCCACAATTTGTAAAAAAAAAATCAAAAGAAATTTATATTTTAATTGCCAAACCGAACAAATTTCAGATACGCAAGTCTTAGTCAGTAGATTAAATAAGATCTAGATTACTCACTGGGTGGTTCCTTTGCCCCTCCCCTGCAGTCTACTGTCCCGTCGCCCTTGAGTCGGAGAGAGAGGAGGGAAGAATGACTCACCAGTCTTAATTCACTCCCTTTGTCCCATTTCCATTGCTCAAACTCCCACTGAAATAAAAAAAAAATTATTTAAAATTTTTTTTTTCTGAATTTGTTCATAGTTTTCATAATTTTTCCTTGTTTATGATTGCATGGTTTGTTTCTGAAGAAAAAGTTAGATTAAAAGAGAAAACAGTCGGTAACAAGTTGCTCAAAAAGTTCCGACTAAAAAAAATGAAAAAAAAGTTAAAAAGAACAGCTTTTTTTTTTAATTTCTGTCGTTTTTATTCGTGGTGTGATAAGAGAATCTGAACGAAACCCCAGAACCAAGGCTCATTCCATGTTAATAGTAAATCAGGTATATTTTGACAAATGATTTTAGAAAATAATTAAAAAATCCAGGAATTTTTGCAGAAAATTTTTTTGGTTTTTTTTATAAGAAATAGATTATTAGCAGACCTACTCGCTCGCTTCAGCCGCTCGAAACTAAAATAAAACTCAAAAATTTCAAATCGGGTTTTCTCAACACTGGGAGTTTTTTTGAAATTTTCAAAATCCGTTTGGATTATGTGTGGTAACTGATTTTGTGTAGAAAACAAAAATAAACTTTAGCAGACTCGAAGACAAAGATCCTTCACGCTTTCAATGGTTCGAAAAAAAAACAGTTACGGTTAACCAGTTAATCAAAATTCCAACAAAATCTGATGTCATAGGCCTTAATTATAGGCCTGGGGCTTACTTAATTTCATATTTTTTTGTTCATAGAGAAGTTAAACTTTTTAGCGTGAAGCGAGAATTGATTTCAAAATTGTTTTTACAAGCAATCCAACGAGAAAAATGAGCATCAATTTTGAAAATTAAGAATACATTTCGAAAAAAGGGTGCAAAAACAAATTTTGGGACAAATACTTTTCGATATAGTTTGGTTTATAATAGCTTTTACTAACTTACCGTGAACCATTCATGTTCGAACTTCATAGTCGGAGGTTCCGGACTCTTGGGGTAACTCGGAACTTGATTGGCCCTCACTTTCGGTCTCGCGACTGGCTGATGAACAGGGGCGGGTGGGGGAAGAGGGTCTTCAATTTGGGTCATGAATACTCCTTTTGGTTTTGGGCTGTGGCTGAAGGCGGGTTGTTTGGGGGAGGGTGCACAAATAGCTCTGAGGGGCTGGAAAAAATATATATTCAGAAAATTGTCCGCTTCTATCTGCTAAGCCAAACAAGACTTCTCGGATTTTAAGGAAAATCCTTGAATGTTGTGACTGCCTGTCATGGTCTATGGAATAATGTTCGCTTTTTCAAAAAAAAAGAAAAAATCATAAAATATAAATGAATTTTTGTTCCCAAAAACCGTCTCCCCATACTTAGTGTAAAGCTATGTAAAAGTATATTTAGCATGCAACAAAGTTTAATGTAGACAAAATAGCATGCCCCAGTTCAATTTGAAAGGTTTCTGAGTCGGATCAAATCTCCGATTGCGCGTTAGTATCACGAAATTTATCGAGCTTCAATTATCCCAAAATGAGCATAATGAGAAATGAGTAAATTTTAAGTCCACATAATTTTTGAAAAAATATCACAGATTGGTTGTTTTTTATTGCATTTGAGTTTGAGCTTAAGACAACAATAGCTTTCAGATGG